GCTTTCTTCTAAACTACTCATCTTCTCGGGTGGGGTCAAACATTCTTACCTTAGCTAAATTCTTATGTTCTGGCAATCTGACTAACTGCCATCTACCAGTTTGACCTATGTAGTTGACCTAACTCACAGTCATTGCAGGGTATTTTGTGAATTATATTATTTTGTTTAATTGGGTCAACCTACAGGGTCCTTTAAGCTACAGAGCTTGTCCTACCTGAGTGAGTTTGTAGGTTTAAATGCCATCACCCTAATTCCAGCTTTATTTAGAATCCTACGTAGGGTCTCAGATATCCCCTCTTTATATGGTATCACTGTAGATGACTTATATTCTCTCTTATTTATGTTATCATTACTGGTTTCACAATTATTTTTACTTTGCTTTTGGCCTTTTTCGATCTTCCTAATGAATTTTATAGGATAGTTATTCAACACCAAAGCTTCTTCTAACTGTTTTATTTCATCATGATGCAATTGCGATGCATGCATTAACACACAACCACTCAACAGGGTGTGTGGTAGAGGGTTAAAATTCTAAAAATTAATCTAGATAGGTGAAGAGAGAGGTTGATTACTGAATCCTGCCTGGTTCATCGAGTCTACACCCAACACATGCAATAGGAATGATTCATCACTCATATCCGAAATATGGAAAATACTACTACCAATCAAATCAAGTGAAAAACAATGGAACTATATAAATGAAGTTAGGAAGTCGTGTGAGTACCTTGATATGATTATGAGCGGTAGTAATAAATTGTGCTCGAAACGGGGTCATCATCAGTAAACTTTACTGTATAACACCACTGTGAGACTTTATCAAAAGAAAATTTACCCATAATGGAATTACATTGACTCCTAGGCTAACATAGAGAGAGAGAGAGAGAGAAGTGGTAGAGTGTGTGTGTGTCGACTACTTCCCTTCTTTGAGAATTTGCATCAGCCAATGCCAGCGGGTTGATCGGGTTGACGAAATGTCAGCACAGATAGAGAAGTTTTGTTTGACATATGCTTGCCAACTCACGCTATTTTTGACTTAGTAGATGTGATATCCGGCTGGCCAGCTGTCTACCAAAAGAGCGTGTGTACTGGTCAGCGGAAGCGCTCGCTCCGTCCTCCTTTATGCCTGGCTGGCTGGCTGTGAGTGAGACATGGCCATTGAAAGTGGAAGACATGAAAAGACTGGCTGGCTCGTTATCTGTCTTTGATCATAGCTGCCTAAGTTCTATCTGCCGTGTTAGGTGATAGGGTGAGTAATATTTAGTTGGTTAGGTATCGGTCGAGTGCTACTGGGTGAAGAGGGGAAATTATTCGACGAGGTTATGAAGTTACATGGATTATTGAGCTAGTTACGCATGCCTAGCCTAGTCATCATCAATTACGTTACTCGACAACGGGCAATGTTAACTGACTGATATAGGATGAATCAGGTTGGAAAAAGGTTAGCTAGTGGTGGTGGTGGTCAGACTGAAACGTGGCTTCATCAGTCAATCAAATTCACAACAGTTAGTTTAAGCCAGCCAGCCAGCGAGCCAGTCACGTAGGGAGGTGCAGACTGGCTTCCTGGTTGGTTGGGTTCCTCAGGATGGTAAGGACCAATGAAGTCAGCTGGGAACAACTGGTGATATACGATATAGCTCAGAATCATCGTTCTGATTGATGACTGGCGTATTATCTCTTTTTTGATGAGTTTCTCTTCTCTTGTTTTGTATGCTAGATGGAGGTAGAATGGCAACTGGAAATGCTGCACATCTATTCAAAGTTCTACGTTGAAATCAGTCAATCAGTTGGCATTCTTAAGACCCCAACCTGACAGACATTTCAACCTTACCCACCTACCTACATGCCTAACTAAAAACCAACTTTCAAAGATGGCGAAGTTCAACAATAGCGTTCCAGGAGTGTGGACGCTCTAATGATCTTGAATGCACACTAGTCCTTGGCTAACGGCATCTGTTATTATCATAGTTGAAATATCAACGCCATTCACCAACTTAGGAGCAAATTTCACCCAGATCACATTTTTAAGTAGTGTTTGGACAATGTGTTAATAGCTCGTTAGGGTTAGGATTAAGGTTAGGGTTACGGTTAGGGATAGATTTATAGTTGATGTCATTTATTGTAATTTGTTTTATTATCCACGTTTTCCTGGCAAGTAGTCGTCTATCCTCTTGCTGGAAACAATAATAAAGGGCGTCTTTGGAAGACTGCAAGCAGGATGAGAGAGATGAACGATTCACAAAACACAGTTCATCTGTAGTCATCTCGGTGAATACACATGCACAGAAACTAGTCTAACTTAGCAACTGATACTCCTCGTAACGACAAGGACGTATTTTTAAGCCATGTTAGAGAAAGATAACCTGTTTAATGTATTTTCAAGCATTTTCTTGTCAAGATACATCATATTTTGAGGAAACATTCCTCATTTTTGTGATTGGTCAGCTGAAGGTCACTACTCGTACGCGTTCGCACTCCTGGGACGCTATTGTTGAACTTTGCCTCAAAGGCTTTATAGGCTGATGGATAGACTTTGACTAATCTGACCATCCCTAACTCATTTCCAACCTAATCTTGTATATCAGCTAACAATGCTCATAGATGAAGTCGATGGGTTCGGCATTCACGTTCACAACGACGCATTGCTTAGCCATCTCAATAAAATTGATATATTAGGCTTCACAAATTTATCAGTAGCACTCTCATTATTTCTCATAACACGGGAGCATATCGTACGGAATGATCATCTTCTACAATAACCAACCAAGTTGACATGAACTGATCTAACAAATGACAGGATCTAACAAGCTGATTTCACATTTAGATAAAGTAATAAGAAGACGTAATTTGTCTGAATCGTGTAATGTATTTGCGCTAATATAATTATTACAAAACCTGATAAAGGTTCTGGAGTTGTCATTATGAATAAAAGTGACTGCAAAGCTAAAATGATGTCTATTCTTTATGATAAGAGCAAATTTAGCCGTGATCCCTCCTCAGAAGATATCTAGTTGTTGCAGGGTACAGTGACAGCTAATCTACTGAAGCTTCACGGCCTAAATGCTACAAGTAAAGATAAATTTGACTCAATCATCGGATTGTAAATTCCCACATATGTATGGGTAGCCAAAAATACATAAACCTAATAATCCTCTACGTTCTAAACTGTCAATAGGCAAATCCTCAACGCATAAACTTGCTAAATAGTTAGTGGAATTATTGCACCCAGTCAAAACACAATTCTTTGAGTATGTGCTAAAAGGTACATTTCAATTGGTTAATTTTCTTGACGATATTAATATTATGAATAAGAATATGTACTCTTTTGATGTAAACTTGTTATTCACTAATGTACCTTTCATTAAAACAGTTGACATTTTGTGTGATTATATTTCCACAAACAATTTTTTCATTCCGTTCCCCAAATCTTATTTAAGGGATTTATTACTTCTATGTACTAACAATTTTAGGTTTACATTTGAGGGCGATTGTTTCCGTCAGCTTGATGGTGTTGCTATGGAAAGTATGTTAGCAGATATTTATATGTCGTACATTGAGAATTTATCGGAGGATTTAATGGAAAATGTACCACTTTACAGAAGATATGTAGATAAAATTATAATCATCAGTGATAAGTCTTGTTCTGCCACCTCAATCTTAAATCGAATGAATGAAGTTCAGATTAGCATATCAATTATATCTGTAGAAGAGGAAGATAATTGCTTATCTTTCCTAGACATATTGCTCAGTCAACGGCTTGATGGGTCAATAAAACACGCTGCTGTTAAAAAGACTTTTTATGCAGCTAGTATCATAATAATAGAGAATGTAAAGCCAATATATCTATGTAAGCCCTCCGAACATGCGAAAAGTGACGTCACATCCCACTGTATTTACCCAATTTGAATGTACGTGTGGACACACATACATAGGGAGGACTCATCGATCTCTGCAAGTAAGGGCTGGCTTCATAGCATATTCCTACAGCTTTTGAGAATGAAATCGCCGAAAAGATATCTTTGCTGAACTTCGTGTTCTTTTCTTTCTAATGTCCATATGGGTGTTTTCTACGATATTCCTAAATGGCTCCAGAAACAAATGGAATCTTCAGAACTCATTAATGGTGAGAACAGGAGACCTAGCTCTTCTATTGCAAAACATATTAGAGAGGAGACAGGACATAAAATTGACGTTAACAGATCTTTTAAACCTATCTATTGAAGTATTTGAGGCGTATCCTAAAGTTTGTGGAAGCCCTAACTAGCATTTAGGAAGTTTAAGTCACCTTTATGCGTTCAAAGCAACAATTCGTCATCACATTAAACCTTCCTTGGTAAATTTTGTTTTGATACCATCCAGGGTAGATGTACTATTATTACCTCTGCTATTTGGTTTAGTGGTCTTTATTGTTATTTTGACCTTCAATATGTCCTTTTAACTCGACCTAAGTCTACTTTTCTCACCTCTTACCTCTTTATTAATTTCATATATATATTCCTATGACAAGCAAGTCCGTGTGTGATCAGATTGCTCGAAATGTGTCGTGCAAATACACATTACTCACGATTCAGACAAATTACGTCTTCTTGTTGCTTTATCTAAATTCATAAAGGGAACTAATTGATTTCACATTCACACAAAGATAATAAAAAAGACAACGAAAAGAAAAGAGACAAAATACAAAGATGATGAAAAAAATATATTCACCACATAGTAGTTTAATGCTGTACAATGGGAAAGCCAGTCGGTTGTATGGTCTTCTTTGAAAAAGGTGAAAAATATAAGCGTGTATATTTTTTCCATTATAAAGCAAACCACACAACGAACTACCTCCCAGAATCACAGCATTTCTTTGGCGGGGCGGCGCGGCACGGCGCGTCATCTCTTCACACAGTTTACACATCCAACCAACTGATGTGATGTGTAACAATTAACCATTACAAAATAGCAATAATAATAATAATAGTTTGATATAACAAAAATTGAGTGAAGTTAAAACGAACCTGACTAGACGTTGCAGATTATCTTCATCACATAGCAACACCATTCTCCTGTCAGCGGAGCAATAATAATAATAGTGACTGTGGCAGCAGACCAGTACTAATAAGTGGGAGTCGTCTAGACTAGAAAGCGCATTGGACAACTAATCAAATTACAAGGTTATCAGGCTTATTTATTAGACAGACATAAAACAAAATATACACGCCCACTCGCTCACGCGCGCGCGCATTTCTGATTGGTCAATTATGTAGTTAGTTAGTTAGTTATTAGTTAGTAAATATGCCGATAAAAGTAGGTGTGAGAAACAAATGCATTTCTCCGGGCTGAAGAAACTACATTGTGTTTCTCTCTATTTATGCGTATGAGAGACAGTTGTAACGTGCCTTGATTGCTATTTCATAACAGCAATGTAGAGAAGGTACATATGGGTAGGATTTTTGCATGTGAGGTGGATAGAAAGATAGAGAGAGAGAGGTGTGTGTGACATACATTGAAGGGAAGAGAAATTAGACTAAGGCTAGACAACGACGACGATTGGTTAACTTATACCTAGCGATATAGACAAGGGCATATATGTGATGTTGTATGATGTATTGCGAAAATATGAGACACATGAGCGCGCATATCAGTTAAAAAAAAGGACGATAATTTATTTTGAAGACAAAGTGGTAGAGAGATTTTGTTTGACCATAATCGATCCGTTACAAAACGAAGACAACGAATCGTAATAGTCGTAGTCGTAAAAGGTGGTTATGGTAGGAAAGGACCAAAACGATACATCGATTTTAGACGCCTAAATTTTTTGCTTGAAACATGGCGATATAATTTTTTCTATAGTTTGGTTTGTAAGGGTTAGTTATGTTTTTACGAGTTGATCACGGATTGACTATATCAGTTAGAGAACCATTGAAAACCAAGCAAAGGGAGTACTGGACAGCCAGCTGTTCCATCAGTCCTAGTTTTTGGGAATCATCGTCAGTACATCCCCACTCACCGCTAGGGTTCGAACCCAGGACCTTCGGTTACAAGGCCAGCGAATTCCTATACCATTCAGCCACTGGGACTGACCCGATTCAATGGCCAGCCAGCCCATGAATTCTAACCTTTACCAATTCGTGATGCATTTAGCGCGACCCCAACCATTGTCGTCGGTGGGATATCCATCATCCTCACACGTGACATTTGGATGGACCTCACTGGCCACGACTTTTCACTAGAACTAATCCCAGGAAATATATGTGTATATATAGTTAAAACTTGGGCACTGTGGCAGTAAGTAATTCCCTATTAGTTTGTTTATTAGATATATCACACAGTCACTGAAACAGTATTAGTATTTACTAGATGACACAGTTTCGAACAAAATTTATTGTTCATAATCATATCAATTATAATCACATAACTTTGAAACTTGAGTTTTATAGTTTACTTTGTCGTCGTTGGGGTAGTAGAATTTTCCAGATATCTGGCTGGACAGGTGTTGAATCACTCCCGTTACAAGTGTTCTCTCTCAGTTGATTCGATAAGCAAATCTCCCGTTATAAATCTCTCCTTCCACCTCGTTACATTCGATTTTATAACTGTCACCTTATCCCATCCCATCAAATTGTATGGTTGTGTGTAATTGCATGTAGTGAGTGCTATAGCTGAACTATTCTCTAGATTTCTTATTTTATTCGGGTCTACCAATCTAGATTTTGCCATAGAATAGTTCAGCTATAGCATTACACGCAATCACACACAAGCATACAATAGGATGACAGTTTTAAAATCTTATGTCACAGCTGGGTGGAGGGAGAGAGTGGTAACAGAAGCTTTCTTTATCGAATCAACTGCAAACCAACACGTGTAATAGGAATGTTTTAACACCTGTCCAGTTATATATCTGGAGAATTCTACTACCCCAACGACAACAAATAGGAGAGAACAAAGAAAACTATAGAACTGAAGTTTCAAAGTCGTGTGATTACAATTGATATGATGATGAACAATACTAGATTGTGTTCGAAACGTCATCCAGTGAATAATACTACTGTTTCAGTGACTGTGTGATACATCTAATAAACAAACTAATATGGAATAACTCCGGGAAACTCCATCCTGTAGCAAGTCACTAGCGAGCATCAGATTAATTGTCTATAGTTTGGTTTCTAAGGGGGGGGGGGGTCGTGCTAAATGCATCACGAATTGGTAGAAGTTAGAATTCATGAGCCATTGAGTCAGGTCCAGGTGACTGAATGGTATACGAGCTTGCTGGTCTTGTAACCGAAAGGTCCCGAGTTCGAACCCTGGCGGTGGATGGATATGTACTGCCGATGATTCCCAAAGACGAGAATGAAACAGCAGCTGTCCAGTACTCCGATGTTGGTCTTCAATGGTTCTCTAACTGATATCAATCCTTGATCAACACGTAAAAAAAAATAATTTTCAATTTTCTGTTTTTTTGTCTTCGTTTTCAAGAGTTTATTTGTCGTATAGATCTGATTTATTTTTATAGTTTTATCACGGATCAGTATGCCAGTTAGGGAACCATTGCAAAAGCAATGGGAAGATACTGGATACGGGTGTTTCTTTCATAGGTAGTACATATCCACCCGGTTTCAAATCCCCCTACAAACAAACTCTTGAAAATTAATCTAATGCTTGCTAGTGATTGGCTCAATTAGTTCTAGTGAGAAATCGTGACCAATGGGGTTCATCAGGTCGACTGGAACTGAGAACATTGGTTAGTGGTGTAGCTAAGATCATGGGCTGGTTATTGAGTCGGATCATATAGTAGGTGAATGCCTTGTGACTAGCTTGCCTTGTGATCGGAAGGTCTTCTTAGGTTCGAAACCTACAAGGGTGCGTAATGCCGACGAATTCGGAACTAAGATGAAAATCAAGCAACTGAAATGAATCCAGAATCACTGGAAATCTTGCAGTCTTAACATAATTGTAATTCACTTTGAACAGAAAGTAAATAAGAGGTCTAATTCACAGGTATGCCTCGGCTGAAACCTTGAGAGGGAGAGAGAAAGAGGGTTAATGGTTCAAATTTATCACATAATTATCACATAATATCCGAGTGACTTCCAAACTCGAATCGAATAACAAAGTCTGTTTCTTGGGTATTACAATGACCGAGAGAGATGATGGAACGATTCAGCGATCTATTTTTTTCTCGTAAACAGATATGGAATGGGTAATATCTTCATTTCACCAGTTCTGTTCCTATCCAGTATAAACGTTCCCTAGTGAAACGTTTATTCTCAAGGGCGCACAAAATATGCACATTACTGGATGACCCTCGACACATATATTCAATTCTATTAGCTAATGGTTATCCAGGAAACGTCATCAATTGTCACAGTAAAGAAAGACCACATCTCGAAAAGACAGTTTCTGTACCAAACAAAGCTATCTATCTTTATTAAACTACCATTATTCAAGGGTGACCAGATTATGCAGTTGACAGCCAGCTCAAAGACTTCGGTCAGTCATCAAACGCACATTCTACGCCACCGAATCTCTTTTTCTCATTTGTCGAACATTCTCGATCCCTGTACCTACAATTTAACGACGAAATTCTGTGGACTCTACTTCAAACTGTGTCTACAAGTTCACCTGCAGTTGTTGCGGTGACACATGCTATATAGGTAGAACCAACAGAATGTTCCAATGTCGTCGAAAGAACATGTTCCAAAATGGCTACTAAATCATATCGAAAATTCCAATGCAATTTTTAATCTGAATAGAAATCCAGCGTCATCATCCATTGTAAAACACTTATTAATGTCAGGTCACAAAATCAATATTAATGGCTGTTTCACAATTATTTCAACACATAACTCTAATTCAAGGTTGTTTGGTCGGTCATTGAAGGTGATGGAAGCCCTTTGGATTAATCACATACAGCCTAAACTGTGTGCACAAAAAACAATAGACTTCAATCTACGCCTACCATGGAAACATGACCTATCTAAATGTGGTTGTTTTTAATATAACTGAGTAATTGTCATGAACTTTATTTTATTATTATTAACCATGTTAGTTGTGTAAAGCGGTTATAAAGAAACTACGAAATGACGATATCATCTCGCGAAATTTTTCCTTTAAATGCCTTATTCAAACATAATTATCAGTTAGAACCACGAAACCACAAAAGACTACTGAATAGAGCTGTTTCGTTGCTTCCCAGGTCTCCTCAGGAACACATACCCACTAGGATTCATACCCAGAAACTTCTGGTTAAGTGATGAACTCATAGATCATTTTTAATCACTGGCAATCTAATTAATGGCCGGTGAATTCCAATTTCCGCCAATCCATTGTTAGCGGTTGCGTTATACGTATATATCGCAAGTCAACAGGTTTGGAAATTCATGAGCCATTATTATTAGATCGATTCCCAGTAGTCGAATCGTCAACAAGCTTGTTTTGCAACTGGAATGTTCTGGGTGTGAATCCTGGTGGGACTGTATACTGTGAAGAGTCCCAAACTGGGACGAAACAGCCTGTCCATTACTTCTTGGTGGTCTCCATGGTGATTTCAGCTCTAACCAATCAAATCCCTGTGAACTAACACTTGATCACATTATTTTCGATACCTGCCTCGTTTGAGGTCATATTGGATCACCACTAGGATCAATCACCTTGGTGTAGTAAGAGAATGGAATCTTTGAAATGTGTATAACTGATGAGCTACTAGGCAAAGTGTTTGATTGACAAAGCTAAAGTTATCTCTACTGCAATGATTGTTTTAATGAAGAACTCAAGATTATTCGAGAATTACTAAATAGAAATAGATATTAGTATGAAATGCAATTAAAATATTTGTGATTATAATCATAGTTAAATGTCAAGTAGCAAAACCATTAATGTCATATACAGAGTAATTATTATTAATGCCTTTAATTCCTAGAGGAACATACGGCTTCAGGCGCGTTTCCATTATGTCCGGTTCTCTGCCAACGTTTTCACCTGGCTCCAAGTCTGCAACACACATGCTTTCATCTCCTCGACACATGACCTCCTCCTCCTCCTCCAAGTCACTCTCGCACTGACGACCAACTCGTCTTGTCTAGTGATGTCACTTGATGGTTTGTTTCCTCAGAGTATGGCCAATCCATCTCCATTTCTTCCT